TAATCTGTCAGTCTGTTTGTTCTCTGTAAAATGAGCTATGTACTGTTGCCCTCATAGTTGATATTAGAGATTACATAAGTCAATTCTTGATCAAAGTTAAATTTCTTTCCTTTTTCTTTATAAAAATTTTAACTTGGGCTTATTTATACAATTCCTGTCTTTTAACATATTTTTAACTGTAATGGAACAAGGTAACCATGCTTTTATTCTGTTTTGCAAAATGATATTCATTTTTTCCTTTCTGCTGTCTGTGGTCCCTAGGGGAGCATGTAACGTCAAGGTTTAAGAATGAAGTGGAGCGAATGGGTTTTGATATGAACAACGCCTGGAGGATTTCTAACATCAATGAGAAATATAAGTGAGTTATGGGTCCCTGTAAACTGTGTTTGACAACCAACACCTTTGCAGAAACCCCAATTCTCATGTGGAAGAACACTTGAACCCAGAATTTTTTTTGAAATGGTTTTATTTATTAAGTTTAACTATACGATCATCAAAGTACTTCTTGAGCCTTTCATTCTGTTGCTTCCACTGGAGTGGAAAGTGATCCGGGAATCTTCCTTTCTATCCCTCCAGGCCTCTGTTGTTTTTGCACATGCATGTCTAGATCATATTGTGTGTACCTGTAGGTAAGCATTATTCTCATCCTCACTTGGCATCACATGAGAATTAGGATCAATGAAAAGCAGTGACAAAACCTTCAGAAACTAGTTTTTGTGACTGTAATTTCATTCTAAATCTTATGAAATGGACACAAGTAATATTCTGGTCTTTTAGTATCTTGATATAAAAGTTACTTCATAATCATAATCATTTCCCCATTAAATATTCATGTAATAATTATTAAATATTTAGCTATTACTTGTTTTCTTGAAACATGTAAGTGCTTTGGTGGGGAGAAGACAATTAACTACTGTGATTTCAGTTATCTGAGTTTCTGTAAAACAAAATTGTCCAGAAAATATAAATTAATATATCCTTTTCTTAAGTTTCCTTGCAGCACTAATCATCCTTTGGTTCTTTGAGCTGCCTCACTTTATGATAGCTATTTTCCTGGTCTATTTGTGTCTGACCATCACAGTATTTCATTTTTCATTGAAAAAA